AATATTTCGTCTAAAAGCCTATAAAATAAATGTTTGTTTGACCACAAGTTGACACGCGGGTTCATATGCACTGCATTGCAAGAGACTGGTGTCAGGGTCGAAAATGGAACTCAGATTAGTGCACAAACTGTCGTGTCACCAATCCATCCCAAGCTCACATACTCATTTTCAGACTTCTTTTTGTCAATCCATTATTGCACGAAGGCATCCCTTTCTGTGTAGCTCTTGGAGATTGTTTGACCATACTTCACTCTGGTGGTCACTGCGGATTGGTGAAAGAGGAGGGGATGCCCAACACCAGTTCAGATATCGCTCGCTCGCAGGGTCCTACCCAGAAAATATGGCAACGTCGTGCCAACGTTGTGCCAATGTTGCAATGTGGATGGAACGCTTGGACCAACGTTCACTGTTGACTGGATGGGTGCATTAACGGCCCAAACAAAGAGCACCTGCTGAGTAAGATAAACATGCTAAACGGATCGTGTTACGGGAGAAAAAAAAGTACAATTCTGAGGTTCTTCAGATAAAGATATATATGTTTTAATGTTATGACTGTTAGTCGCATTTAAAAGACACGGTGCATATCTGAAGTATCGTGCAAATGCATACGCCGCAGTGCTGCGCAGTTCAACGCGTGCGCTGCCCTAATTGGGTTTCCTGCGCTCGAGGCCATGAGTGTGCAATGAGTTTCATTTCCTTGCATAAACAGGTGGGTTGATATTAAACCCATCGCGAAGGCGTTTTATATTGGAAACAAAAGACTGTACAATATAATGCACGGTAAAAAAAAAAAACCTCTATCCTGTTGAGAGTGGGTCACGAGACCCAGCGTGGTTACGTTATCAATTGAAACGTCTTCATAGCCGCACGCGCAAGAAGAAAATGGAAGAACCCGATGGAATAAAAACCAAACCGAAAACAACTGAAACGTGCACAGAGAAAGCTCGGACAGGTGCATGCTTGGAATTGCACCGAGAGCTCGGAGAGGGAACGCGCGGACAATTGGGCTTCGGCAGGACACGATCGCTGAAAGGGCTGACGGTCGGTGGTCGAGACTAAGGACAGAGTGGCAGCCGAGGGAGGCATCCGAGAGAGAGAGCACCTACAACCGCGGAGATGGAGCGATGAAATCAGATGATCAGCTCGTGGGCAGGCGCTCCGCGGGATTGCTACGTCGGAGGACGATCGCGAGAGACGGTGACGGGTTTGATCATCGTCTGATCATGGCAGGTGATGATGATATGAATACATTACAATATTTCGATTTAAAGCTTTCGTGACTGCAGAGATTCATCTTCTTGGTTCTTTCGGTAAAGTCACGTAGAAGGGCAAGTAATAAAATAATAAAAATAATATATATGCTCCAAGCACGTGTGCTGTTTCATTCAGACGCTGTCGCCTCGACAGACCTGGTTTTCACCTGAGGACGGCTGCTTGCGTTGTGGCCGAAACGTCGTGAGAATTATTTTATTATGTTTTATTTTTATTATTTTATTACTTCCCTTCTACGTGACTTTACCGAAAGAATCAAGAAGAAGCATTACAATATGTTACCACAATTACGCTGCACAGTATTTAGTAATGCGTTCATAGACTCCCATTCCGGGTAAGGAAGGTAACGCAGAATGAAGGTAACCAGAATAACGCACTACCTCAATTGCACCGAATAATGCTGAGTGACATTTCACCCCCCCCCCCATCTCCCATTTGGGTGTTGGGAATGGTTGCCAAGAAACCGAAACAAAAAAGGCCGGGCGAAAGCAATGCTGCCAGTAGTGTTGCAGGGGCTAGCTGGTTCTAGTTTTTCACCCAAACAGCCCAGGCGGGTCTGTGCAGTGAGAATGTGTGGATGGTAGTGGTGATGACTGTGACAGCGATCGATGGTCGTGGTGTGGTAGCAGTGGTGATGATGATGGTGATGCACGCCTGGCTCTAGTTTTTAAGACGATATCGCGACCGCTTCGTGCCGTGCCACGTGCTCTACAGCGGTGCATACGCAGGTGAGCAGGTAAGCGGCCGCAATGTGTTGATGTCGATGTCTGCAGACAGGTACAATGATTTCTGACTTCTTACGGGGAGGCAGCGAGTTTCAATATTTTTGTTAAGTCTCGTACAAAACGTGGAGATGTGCTGCCACAGGGGTGTACTGGTTGAAATAATCACTCTGCCACTCTCCACACAGAAATATAAATGGGTACACCACAGTCGATCGGCAGATCGCGTGTGATGGGGTAAAGTGTGGGCACTTCCACCTCTTTAAGACGTCTGGCCACCGTGAGAGAGTAGGCCAAAACACTCTCTGGGTGACCTCTCTAAAGGAGGTCCTTTGCAGAACGTCGAGATGCAGACAAATTATATCTAAGAGTGTATTGGCTCATAAATAGACTTTACTTGAATTGCTTTGTTGATATATTGTTTCAGATATGCATACATGTCGGTAGTTGTGGTTGCATTTATTAATCTATTGATAGATAACTCAATGAGAATCCAAGTCTATTACTCAAATGATGACGTAGGCATCTACTTGAAAGGCACCAATTCACATGCGGCGAGATGTTAACTGCCTCGCCTGGTATGCAGAAGTTCGTGGGTTTGATCCCGACCCTGACGCTTGTATATTTGCAGTGTGCATGTTCTCCCCATGGTCGCGTGGATTTTTCTCTGGGTCCTCAGGTGTTTCCCTCCACATTTAGAAACATGCGATTTGGCTGCTATAAATATCCACATAAGCCACGCTTTGAGTGATCATTTGTGGCCAAGTCACTTCTGAAAAAGAGCTGTATAGCTTAGTGGGCCTTACCTGGTAAAATAAAAATACTTAAGTTTTGGGTACGCAGATGATGTCCCCTTCAAATGTGTTTCTTCACATAAAAAATAAAACAATGTTTACACAACCCTTTAGCCACATGGCCTTCTGGGAGTGCATAATTTCACAGGCATTGATTCAGTGCAATCAAACTCTTCACCGGTTTTTACACGCAGTGTCACATCAGCAGTCAGCATTATTTGAATCAATGCTGGTGAACAGCGAGATGATACCCTGTCTTTAAGATATTGGTTCTAGCTTTGAGTAAAAATGGAAATGGTTGATTAACTCTGTTATTACGGAGGCACGTTTATCTCCATGTCAAGTATTATGAGAAGAGCATTTAAATATAAGTCAGTGTTTCCAGTCCATAGTCTACCGTCCCATATATTAACAATGCCAATCTTCTTTCCTTCGTATGGTAGGGAGTTGATAAAACAATGTTCATGTCGATGTTTGTAGGCCAATATATGGCTTCAGAAGTGAATATCTTGACATATAGGAAAATCCATTCATAGATACCCCATACATTTTAATTGACATGACTGTTGAACTTCTTTCGCACCCTACATAACCAAACCGTGCTAATCGGAGGTGCGGCCTGTAGAAACTCCGAAATAAAATGCCGTTTTCTCTATAATTTCTCCGTAATATTGTTTACCCATTTATGGGGTATCTATAAATGGATAAACATGTGTTCCAGCTAATTTCTCGAAGCGGGCAGTGGTCGCTGTGTGGTCCCTGGTTTGAGATTGGTGACCGCAGTCGCATGCACCGTGGGCTATTCTCAATTAAAGTCGCAATGCAGGTGCGCGCATTATTAACTGTGCATTGCGCAAACACGGAGACACCGGTAAACACGGATAGATTGACTGTGGTAGAAATCGCAATGAATTTGGATTTGAGAATCGCGTCAGTTCATCCCAGGGTGTAGTTTCTCATGGAATATATATTCCGGGGCAGCCCGTAGCCCCCAGCCCCACCTCCACCCCCAGCCGACAGAAATGAGGGGAGGGGGGATGCAGGAACCTATTTTCCGGAACTCAGCCCTGGACCATCTGAAATTGAGCCATTGTCCATCCACACATCGTGCACAGTTCGTCTAGCGGCAGACAGATCACGTGTGGTGGGCGAGGTAGTAGAGTTTGGGTATTCCCACCTCTTCCAACACATTTGGACAGCGTGGACGAGTAGGCCAAATATCCTCAATAGGGGCTCTCTACAGCTTCCTCTAGTGGAGGCCCTTCCATTAGCAATTTCAGGGTGTGAACATTTACCTTCTCATATTAACTTATTTTTTGTTTGTATTATTTAGTATATTTCTGTAATATTGCCATAAGGGCCTCCCCACATCGTGTGGGTCGTGGAGGTAATTCGACCGTACTTCAGAGCGCCGTTGGCCAGCAATTCCGGGGCGAGCGAAGGCGGGGAGCATACTCGATGGAGCCATAGTACAGCCCCGACCATTGATTTCACTGCACACTATGTAAATATAAAAAGAAACGTTCCCGTGCGCATCTGCTTCAGCCGAGTGAATGAGACGCAACTCGCAGGGGCCGCAATTTATTCGACCATCCACGCTCGCACGCACGCTGCCGTGGGGCGTCTGAGTGCAACAATGACCGTCATTGCCCGCTCCCGAGAATTCGATGAGTGCGCACGCCTTGTGCCATATTCATCGAAAACCTGATGGGTTTAATCAAGTTTTTTGTCGGTGGTGGGGGGGGGGATGATCGGAGTCGAATATCGAATAACAAGTAGCACTAGTCGCATTCCTGCATTTCCCATAAATATGCTAAATTTCTCTTCATATGCAAATTATTTTGTCAAGGCACTCTTCCTCCTCCCTCCCAGCTTAAATAGACGCTCCAAGCCTAGGACGTGTCATTCAGACTCTGTCTTATCGACAGACATGTTCTTCACCTGAGGACGGCTGCTTGCGTTGTGGCCGAAACGTCGTGAGAATTATTTTATTATGTTTTATTTTTATTATTTTATTACTTCCCTTCTACGTGACTTTACCGAAAGAACCAAGAAGATGAATCCCTGCAGTCACGAAAGCTTTAAATCGAAATCGAATAACGTTGTTTTGGCTCGCGAGAGCGAATAAAACGATGAATGTGGGGGGAGGGGGGGTGGATATTCACCACGCACCACCACCCGGGCCACCTCTCCGATGACCGGTCTTGTTGACGGAGCGGGCTGGTGTGTTTTACACGAGCGCCCAACTTGACAGAGGGGAGTGGGGGGGGAGCTTCACATTACTCACTCTCGATGCCACCGGGGGAGAAAATACACGGCGCAAGTACCCGCGGATACATCGTGCTCCATGCTACCGGTACCCGCGTACAGATGCTGTGTGTGTATCATGCATCGCGTGGCGTAGAGGTGTTGTTATCGGGTATAGGTTGTTTATCGAATAGCTTGTTATCGAGTGTGCAGGCGTAAAACGGCTGCAACCAACGTTCTTTTGCCAAAGACACGTGCGCACAAGACGTGCCGTGCTTTGTGTCGGCATACAGACGTGACGGCGTGGTGTGTGCGGCAGTGAAGGCGCTGGTAAGTGTGCAGGCGGTGTAACTGCACCGGGGATCGTGATCTGGGGGGGGGGGGGGCTCAAGTTCTGGGAAATGCGTCCCAAATGATGACACCCCCATTGTATTGGTTGTGCACATGCCAACCACGATGCCACAATGTGTGTACGCATATCACGATGCATGTGCTGTTTAGAATGACTTATGTGTTTTTTTACGCTGTACAGTGCTTTGTTTTTTGCTAGAACAGACCGTACCACTTGATGGGCTCTTTCAAATACGCTTTGTAAAAACACACAGATACGTGTGTGTGTTCTCGGAGAGGTATGGATTTAAAAGCCACGTGTAATTTGTCTGGGCTCACATACAACAACAAGAACAACAACGGTGCACGTGACTGAACCTGTCAGAGACAACCTGCACGGCGACACGGTCAACCCTGACACGTGTGCCTTGTTTAAATGTGGGGGCATACAGAGACTCTGGGTGGAGGGAGGGTGCACGACACAGCCAAGACGGCCACCTCCATAGCTCAATTCTACTCAACTGTGCATCTTGTCCCGGTTAGCCTTCGTACAAGCGTAGTCTCTTGATTCACTCACATGACGCTGATGTGCAATGGGACTTTAAAAAAAATATATAGTGAAGGAAGATCCATCGTTGTACCGTGATTCTATGTTTCAACTGTTCTGCTCCCCGCCTTCACCAGCCCGCACTAACTGGCGTGGTGAGGTCCGGTCACATAACCCCCACGATGACAATACAATATATAACGTAATACAACAGGGTAAAGGTGCAGTCCTGAAGTTGCTTGCTCACACCACTGCTGGCAGAAAGACCTCCACGACAGGGAGCTCTAGAGAGCCCCTCCAGAGGGTGTTTTGCCTACTCTTCCATGCTGCAGGCCAGACGTCTTGGGAGATGTGCATATACCCACACTTCACCCCACAACACGCGGCCCACCTGCCGATCGACTCACTGTGGTATGCCCATTTATACTGCGGGAGGCACGGTGGGATTTAATAAACTTGCCCATAGGCAATGCATAGAGGCAAGTGTGGAATATAATCCGTGAGGGTGGTGACGTATCTGGTGTGTCCGCTTGCGCTGTGTGTGCCCCAGAACACGACGGAGAGGAGCAATGTCCGTGCAGTCGGAGACGCGCCAGCTCAAGGCGGCTGTAGCCCAGTTACTGTGAGTGGCATCAAGTGTGGGGTTGGGATGAGGTTGAGTGGGGGGGGGGGGGGGCACTTGGGAGAGGCAAGAGGGCTTGAAATGTTAGTGGGAAGCAATTGGCTTTGGCGTAAACAAGACGAGAGGCCACCGTGACAACGGCGCCTGGTAGCGAGGGAGACCTGGGAAGAATGGCATAGGTGTGTGTAGACAATTGAGTTGGATGGAGAGAAAGAAGAATGAGGTTCCACGACAGGTTCGGAAGGAGAGAGGTCTCACGAGAACAATCCAGGTAGGAGTGAAATATGTGAATTGGGCGCATTGTCAGAATTGGCAGATGGATCAATGACGTTCTGAAAGGGTGGATGCTGGGGAAGAGGCCGCAGAGGCAGAACAAGAAAGATGCTGCTTGACCCCTTGAAGGAAAGAGGTCCGTACGGTGAAATGAAGAACGCTCAAGATCAGACAGGGAGTGTGAGTCAAAGACCTGGCAATTGGCAGAGGATGAAAAAAAACCTTGATTTGTGAATTAATCTGCACAGCCTGGGATATGTGGAATGTTTGGATAATACACATGCAGTATATAATTGCATGACAAATAGTTAATACTCGCTTTACTACCCGGCTTCACCCGGGACTTGGATTCTTGTCTTGGATTAACACACGGCCTCCGCGGAGAGTGGGGGGGGGCGTGACGTCAGCAGGCACACTGCGTGACGCTGCCGCATGCGGGTGACATCACAGATTTGACGTCACTGCTCACTTGCCGTGCAAAATATTTACATTATTGCGCCCCCCCCCCCCCCAAAAAGTATATTTTCATACTTTTTGCATTGTGTACAGTCTGGAAGCTACCCACATGCCAAATTTCAAGTTTGTTGCATTTCGGGAAGTATGCTAAACATTTCGAACAGACACACATTCACAAATCCCCCCACCTCCAACCCACATGTCTCGTCCCACAGGGAGCAGCATCTGTCCGTGCATCTGCGGGAGAGAGACTTTGATCCACGAGCGGGACGACACCCAAGCCGTGTGAGACCCCACACTGGAACGCACTCCTCACTCAACCCGCCGCTCAACAACGGCGGTGGAATCTTTCCCTCTCAGCTTGGGTTGTCCACAGAGTAATGGTAAAGGGGCAGCCCTGCAATCGCCTTGCTCACACCGCTGTTGGCGGAAGAGCCTCCACTAGAGAGCGCTCAAGAGAGCTCCCCAGACGGTTACAGGGACTCCTCTTCTTACGAACGAGTTAGGTTCCAGAGATCTGTTCGTAACGTCAACTTTACTCCTGTCGATTCCAAACGTGCTGTACGGCATGTTACACTAAACACGGGGAATGGATTTAAGAGTTGTATAATCTCCTGTAGATGTAGATGCCACTGGTTCTTCACGTTCCGCAGATGTAGATGCCACCACCACCATCTATTGTGCGGCGGTTGAACTTACGAGTCTTGGTCGGAACAAGCAACTGGACAGACAGGTTTGTTCATAAGTAGAGGCGTCCCTGTTTTTGGCCTGTACTTCCACGCTGGTTGGACATCTTGGAAGAGGTGGGAGCACCTACACTTTACGTCTTCACAAGCGACCAATGGACGAACTGCGGTGTGCTCATTGGGTGAATTTGGAAACTTTCCGTGCCACGAGGATGAAGTGGTGGCCGCTGGATTGCAAGTCCGATGTGCAAACACCGTGGCAGCATCCCTGGTTCATAAAGCAGGCAGCACTAAGCCATGTCTGGGATGAATTTCTCACAAGCTATGTTTTGGGTCCCTGGTAGACCATAACCATAGTGCGATGGAGACTGGATGTGGTTTTCCAGGTGTGTTTATATTTTACGGGTTGCTGATTTAGACGGACCCGACTGAAATTAATCCCAGAGCCATAAGCAATCAGTCACTTTGCCAAGTCAAATTTATGACAATGTTCTTTGTTTATATTCGTTTACAGTTTACGGTTTTAATGACGCTACAATTGTGTTGCTGGTATCGAGCATTCTATGAATGAAGGCAGGTCTGTTCGGTACTGTTCCGGTGAGCAGTGCACAATCTTGTGTCAGAGAATGGCGTGGGGAGGCAACCCGGAGAAAAGGTCAGGCGATTCATGTTGCAAGCACATTTGGACAGGAAGGCTTCGTCTACTGGAAAGGGTGTCGAGTGAGGATTGGATTCACGAATGCGGTGTTAATAAAACTCCTGCATAGGTGTCTGTGGACGTGTTCGTATACAGGTCTCCGATGGGGTTGTACCACGTGTTGTGCTCTGCGTCATATCGAACACCAACGATAATAATCACAACGTTGCCGTGCGATGTTACGTCACTCGTTGGGTGGGGAGCCCCCCCCCCCTTGCCCCGCATCCCCGGCTGGATCTCAGTGTGGTTCGTGTGCTTCGCAGCGTGCCTTTGACCTGGCATTTGGACGACTGCCGCGCAGCAGATCTCAGACCGATGGCCCCGGCAACCCGGAGAAAAGGTCAGGCGATTCATCCGTCCGGCGGTCGCCTCGTGACCCCTGCAACAAAAAGGCCCCTTTTCGAGTGGACACGAGCTCCGATCAGCCACAGAACACGCCGCGAACACAATAGGGATAAACACCGTAAACATTGTGGAAATATCTTCTTGGTTCTTTCGGTAATAAAAAAAAACATAATAAAATACAATTCTCACGACGTTTCGGCCACAACGCAAGCAGCCGTCCTCAGGTGAAGAACAGGGCTGTCAGAAAGACAGCGTCTGAATGAACACCACTAAGCTTGGCAACGTATATTTAAGCTGGGTTAGAGGAGGAAGGGCGCCTTGACAAATGTATTTGCATATCAACAGATGAATTTAGCATATTTATGGCAAATGCAGATATGGCATTAGTCACTACTTCCTGATTCCTCTAACCCAGCTTAAATATACGCTGCCAAGCTTGGTGGTGTTCATTTAGACGCTGTCTTTCCGACAGCCCTGTTCTTCACCTGAGGACGGCTGCTTGCGTTGTGGCCGAAACGTCGTGAGAATTGTATTAAAAAATGTTTTATTTTTATTATTTTATTATTTCTACGTGACTTTACCGAAAGAACCAAGAAGATGAATCCCTGCAGTCACGAAAGCTTTAAATCGAAAAATTGTGGAAATATTCTGTCGCGAACGGGCAACGAATCTATTGTGCTGGACAGTACTGTACCGCCAACCTCCGGGCCACCTTGCGGACCTTTGGCTTTGGAAATGATCTAACACATGGCACCCGCGTGCCTGTGGTCCGATGCTTTCGAGGCATGGGTCGGTGGATCACGTGTACTCGTGAAACACCCGAATCTGCCGGGCTGCAATGTGGCGAGGCTATGGCAGTTCGAGCAAGGGTGTTTTTTGAACCCTGTCTGTACCGACCTCTGAGTGCTATGCCGTCATATGAATGGTGGCGTTTTTTTTCGAGTACGTAATCCGCTTTACCCTCCTTAACTGACGACAATTGGCCAGACGTCACAACGAAGAACACTTTCGAAAATGCAGAACACAGAACAATGCAGAGAAATGCAGAACACACGATGCAGAGCAAATGCAGAACACTTAAAAATTGTCTTGAAACTATATATGGCATACGTGTTATTATTGTTGTTATTTCTTAACGACCCAACAGAGCCATCTCCAAGGCACTGGATCACATGAATTATTTTGATTATAATTACAGCACCTTCCTCTTCATCCGTGCCTTCGTATCCCCTTAATTGCTTCCTTTATGTCCTTCGCTTGCTCCATCACCACCCATTCCCTCCCGCTATTCCTCTGTGTTTCTGCGCTCTTGAGACATTCCGTACGTTATGGGAGCATTGCCAAATGTACGTCGTTGTTGTTGTTGTTAATTATTGTAACCCTTGTGTTTTTTTGTTCGTTTGTGTTGTTGTTGTGGGTACCTCGTGGAGTCTAGAGCAGCCTGCCGCGGCAGCAGTAAGGTCACGGGAGGTCACGTCTCGCTGGAGAAAGAGGCGGAGATCCTGTCCGCGTACGCCAGCTGTCTCATAGTAGGTCACGGACCAGGGACCGACACATCCGAAGCTCTGTGAAATAACAACAACAGCAGAAGCAACAACAACAACAAATAATATATGATTTAAAACATGTGTGTGAAATGCCAGTGCCGAAATCCAACACCGGACCTCATTTCACGTTCATAAATTAAGTAAACTGTGGCCGGCACGCCCGACAAATCTCTCTTGGGGTCATAAAACCCACGCTGCGCTCATCTTTTGCTGCACATGGGCGACCTTGACATTGAAGCGAGGCGCACACGAGAATGGCCCTTTGTTTTTTTATTATTATTTTCCGTCAATAAATCACGCCAGAAATACGTCACCACTTTTGTTTTTTGCGGTCCTCTTTTGGGTTTGATTTTACGTAAAAACCAAAAGCATAACCCGTCGTCGATGTGAAAGCTATTATCGCAACTAAATATTGAATTAAAATGTGTTATTACAGTGCCTCTTTGTGCAGTTGCTGTCATGGCAAGGGTTTTTAATTATTATTATTTTTGAAATAGGTTTCACACAAACGGGGGCTTGTGTTTGGCGAAAGTGGGGCATGACTGTGCTCGTTGTGTCTGTGTGCGGTGAAGGACAGCTTGAACCTGGAGGAGGTGTTCATGCTGTACAGGCACCGTCCCTCGGACAGCCTCACGAGAAGAGCTGCTAAGGTACGTGACGTTTTGACTAATGGTCCTTATTCTTTAAGGCCACGGTGTTTAATGGACAAATGTGTTGGATTTTTTTTATTTTTTATTTTATTTTATTATTTCCCTTCTACGTGACTTTACCGAAAGAATCAAGAAAAATGTGTTGGAGTTTGTGATGTTTGTGCTTGGGCACCACTGTGCCAACGTAGCAGCAGTAACGTCACCACCAAATAATGCATTTATTTTTTTAGTGATTTTGTTTACCTTTTATAAACTTTACACTCATATCGTGTTTTTTTTTGCATTGTTTGTTGTTCTCACTTTCTGACCCGCCCCCTTAACTGGACATCTGTGTGTAAAAAATAAAAGAGCTTTATATCTCATCGGATTCCTCCTGCTGGTATAAATAAACATTCTCGTTATTAATTTTGCTGAGGTCGGCGTGAGTCGGCAAGCGATGCTTGAGTCCCTCTCTCTCTGCCGTGAGATGCCCGCGCTCACGCGAGCGTGCCCACTGTGGACTCTGTTGAGTACCACTCAAACGCTACAGCTGCTTGAAAGTGGTTTTGCACTTTAACGCGCGCGCGTGCGTTGTGTGTGTGCGTGTTGTCTCTTTGTTGAAGAGTTTTTTTTTATCGTTCTAAAAAAAGGCATTCTTCCACAAATACCATCGGAATTATTCGTGATAGCATAATGGGAGTGGTAATAATACGCTTCAAAATGTTTTCGGAAGGATATTTGAGAGGATATATTTATAATTGATACTGTATAACCTTCAGCAACCCCGCTGTCTGAAGAAGTGTGAAGAATGTTTAGACGATCTCCACGACAGATATGTGTTTGGAGGCCTTTATCTAGCAGTGGATAGACAAAGATCGCTGTGAAATATAACATAAGGAATGCGAAAAATACTTGGAACGTTTGCACAATTTCTTTGTCAAAAGTAATTTTCATGAAACACAATCGTCATCAGAGCTGGTTCAACAAATGGGGGAGGCTCTGTGCAGATGGGGGAGATGGTCATAGAGAGAGAGACAAAGATACACAGACCTGGTGACACAATGACAGAGGCATGACGACAACAGAGATAAACACGGCGACATACATCGAGAAATAATGTTGAGTGGGGGCTATTGTGGACATGTGGCATGTGCATAAATACATGCACTCAACAGTATCATCGTCATCAATACAGAGCTGTAGATAAGGAGTCAGCAGCCTTCAAGCGCCTTCAAGACTTCTTCCCTGAGCTGTCTGAGGCAAAGGTCAAAGCCGGTGTCTTCGTCGGACAGCAGATAGAGAAGATCCTGGAGTGCAATGAATTCCCCAAGAAGCTCACTAGTAAGGAGAAAGCGGCCTGGAACAGCTTTGTCGCAGTGGTTCGTGGCTTCCTGGGCAATCACAAGGTTATTATTCCCCCACAAACTTTGCTTTTGTGACCTATTTTCAATGAGAAAACGGGCGAATTTGTGATGCTCATCTTGATCAATTCAAGGAGAACATGGGAGCATACTCGGAGGAGCAAGGCGAGCGCTTCCACCAGGATATAGACTGGACTTTGAACGCCGCTACCAAGGACAATATAACGAGAACATGATGGGAGACTACATTTGGAGGCTGATTCGTGAAAGTGATTTACAGTATAATCGTAAATCTCGAATGACTACTCACTTATAAATCTTTTGTAGTCATTTTTTTGTATTACTTTAGTATAAATACATGTTAATTTTGATTCATATGTTGTTTTTTCTGACTGTATGTGAACGAAAAGACACAAATTCGCCCGTTTTCTCATTGAAAATAGGTAAATGTAAATAAATCACTGTCATGGTCACAAAAGCAAAGTTTGTGGGGAATAATAGCCATTTTCTAAACTTTTTAGGCATAAGCAATTACAAAATAACACTTCCTACCCAGGAACAAAAATTGTGTTACATCGTGTAATCATCACCACCGTCATCACTGCCGCTACCAACACCGCCATCATCATCATCGCCACTACCAACGCCACCACCACCACCACCACCATCATCATCGCAATCACCATCACCATCGTCCACGTTGACACCACGCGTGTCAGCTGCCCAGAAGGCCCTCTTTGAAACTCTACCCGTCAAAGTGTCGAGACGTTGCAATCCTTGGAATGTATTTCGCTCTCTGTCATCAAACAGAGGGAGATGACCCAGCTGTCCAGCCTGTCCACACGTCCACCAGCCATGCTCATGGCTCCATACGCCCTGCGCTACGCCAAGCAGCGAGGTACACGGAGCCAGCCTCTGTGCGACTGTGAGAGACACGTGGAGTTGGTAGATTGCCTGTGTCCACAAGGGATGTTGTCTTGTGTTTATCTGAGGAACACGGGGGCTGTAGCGGGGTGGGGGGGCTTGTGCTTGTAACGTGGAGTTGCGTATTGTGTCCGTATGTGCGTAACACCGGGGAGCTTGTGTCTGTGTAAGGAGCCGTCCATAAATGACGTCACACGATTTTGGACTATTTTGACCCCCCCCCCTCGTCACACGGCATCACAAAAAGTCAGACCCCCCCCCCTCAAATATGACGTCACAAAGCTCTGCCCCCCCCCCCAAAATAAAACATGCTTCAAATCGCTTTAAAATATTGTCATTGTAGTCCGTATTTAATGTGCCGCTGCACTCTGATGTTGTAGAAGAAAACATTTATTAAAAAGTCGATTTAATTAAGTAGAACGTGTTGTCTATATTTATTTTCATTTGCGCATTTTGATGTGACGTCACATTTCTCAACCTCCCCCCCCCATCGTCACACATCGTCACAAACTGTGCAATTGCACACACTCTTTGTGCCGATACGTGTTCTCTCTCTGTGTATCTTTATGATGTCTGTCTGCTTATATGTCTGTCTATAGTTTTCTGGTTAGATTTTTGTTGCTATTTCTTTTATACCTGATGATGATTGCTTGTGTTGCAATCGAAACGTCGTAGTATGCTATTATTTAATTTATTATTTTATCTTTATACGTGACTTTACCGAAAGAACCAAAGAATAATGTCTGACCCCCCCCTCAATCTCTAGGTGCGTAACGTCATTTATGGACGGCGCCTAACATGGGGGGGGGGGGTGGGAGGTCCTCCGTGTGTACGTGTAACTTCGGGGTGTCTTGTGAGGCACGGGTAGGATTGGTGTCTGTCTGCATTATGTTTCCAAGTTGGGTACGCACTGTTGATTGCAACACCAACAACATCATCGGCAATGTGCAACTGCATCGCATGCTTTGTACCTTCATCGATTTCATCTCCAAGATGACGATTTTAGGAACATTAATTGCCAACAACACATCACAATAACCGGAATATGTTAATATATATTGTAAACACATATTTATCAACTGAACGCTTTATGCTGTTACACACTCTGCCTGGCCTCTCTATGTGTTCTGAGTAAGGCCCATTTTCCCGAAACGTTGCCTATTATATTTGAAATTTGAAGGCATGTTTTGTTTATCGGATAAAGTGTCGAGTTATAAAGCCGATACTTTATTTTCAATCCTTGCCAGCAGAGGGCAGACATTACCCGTGAGATGTAAGACGAAAAGAACAACACGCGTAAGATAAATACTTGACGCTCTCTTAAAACAGAAAATACACATCCGAAACATATATAGTACTGTAAATGTCAGCCTATCATCATCATAGTCGTAGCCACACTCCATCTACTGCTGGATGGAAATCCTTTCCACTGGATGGAAATGCTTTCAAAGTAACCATCCGGTCTCGTTACGTGACAATCCATTGAGTCGCTGTACGTGAGCCGATTAAATCGCTCCATCTCCGCGAGTGGACGTGCCTCTGGCGTGTGACCTCCTCCTACTGCCCACACACTGAGACGTTCGTCTCGTCCACTGGCCACCATCAATTCTAGCGACTTGGTCTGCTGTCCAAGCCCCCTTCACCTTACTCAACAGTCAATGTTACGTCTCGAATTGGTGCGTCAGGTGCTCTCATTTCACGCGTTATTCTCTCCCGCAGTGTAATTCCAAGCAAGCAGCACCCTCCCATTATTATTTGTTCCCTCTTGAGCCTTTGTTTCCAGTTTTGTCCAAACGGCTACTATACCCTAATTTTATTGCATTGGTAGGTTAGTTTGGTTTATATATATGCGTAACCTTCCACTCACGTCGAAGCTGAATGCAGTGGTGCTGCTTCTGCGGTTGAAATTGCTGTTGATGCTGCTATTGTTGTTGCTGTTGCCGTTGTTGTGCCATTCGTCGATGTTGCTGTTTGTTGTTCACGTTGGTGCCGCAGCAGACAAGCCGAAGAAGACGAAGACCGGAGGCCACGAGAGCAAGGGCCCCCACCTCTCGCCCGTGAAATCGACTCCTTGCTCCGAGTCTGATGGGCCTCCTTCCGAACCGGCATCGGGGTCCTTGGGGGTGAAACGGGGACGTGGTACCGAAGCCCGGTCCCAGGGGACCCTTCCCAGGGGGCGCATGACGTGACCTCCACCGTCCCCTCTCCCTGCTATCACCCTTCCAACCCTCACCACCTTTCCCCCTCCTTTCAATGCCACCAACCCTGTTACCCCCCTCTCCACGATTGGTTCCATGCATATTTAAAGCCTCGAGCGACCGTGGGGAAATGTCAGACTGATGATGCTGATGATGAGTGTGGCCTTCTTGATTTAGTCAAAAACCTATCACTTGATACATCTTGTAATCCTTGAGTTTTGAGGAGAAGAAGAAAATAAAATAGATGCAAAATGTGACCCTAAATGATATTACCGTATAGAGTGTGAACCACGATTCTCAATAGTTTAATGAGATTGTTAATGAATGATGATAATTACGATGATTGTTGCAAAATTATGAAAATCCATATATGTGATAAACTGTAGTTATTCTCATACAAGTTTGTGCATTTAATCTACATTTGTGTAATGTACAAATGTTCCAGCTGAGACGCAATATTTAAATAAATTCATCCTTACTCCGCAAGTGGTTGGAATTTCTTCAACATTTATTTAACACACTTTTATTGAAATAATTCCAGCTTTTAACATGTTACATACAGTACAGTACTCTACGCAATTTACTTTTGCAAAAGGCAAACCAATTATGGGCAAGGAGCCCTGTATTCACAGCATTTACTCAGAAGTGAAAATGTGACCAAAGTAAATGCCCTAAAGAGTGGAGGGAACCCCACATTTTGTGTCGAAACTTTGAAATTTGAAATGGGGTGGTGAAGTAGATACAGCCCAGAAGAGTTGTGTCGAACAGAGATGCCCTCTCGCATCGACTCGACTTGCACGCCCAGAGGCCGTCTCGGCCCTGGGTATGAACTGAAGTCACCAGAGCTCTCCCTTCGAGATGTTCTGGTAATCGTCCCATGATTAAATCAATATTTTTAGTGCGCTCCTTCTGCTGTGCGTACGTACAGCACTTTACATAAGCCAGAGCCCGCCGATGATCTACAGCACATGTTTCTGTTGCATATTAAGATATGTATATTACGATATGTGTATTAAAATATGCATATTAATATATGCATATTATTAAGATATGCATATTAAGATATGCAACAGAGCATATTAAGATGTGAGGTCATCGCCAAGGAGGGACAATATATGAAAAATAAGAATAGGTTTTTACCCTTTATGCAATAAAATAGGTGTTAATATATTCAAACGCCAAGTAGATACTTTTCGCAAAAATAAAGTCTGAATTGACCACACGTACTTGTGGCAAAAACATGCAAACAAATATGCTTCTTTAAGGCCTTGTCTCACCAATGTCAGACTGGAGAACACCAAAATGCGAACAGTACAAAGACAATGCAACGTGTCAGAGCATTTATAGCTCGGGTTGAGCAGTTAAATCTCTGCGACATGTTTTTGCCAGTATCAAAGTAAGAAAAATTAGAAGAGGTTTTACCTATGCTTAATGAAAGGGCGACATCACGCGAAGTCACGCAATAATAATGGAGTGGCATAGCGTGGCTGGCATGGGCCCTGGCGGAAGAAAAGAAATGCGGCCACTTGGCCAATCCCTCTAACCCCTCCCCCCCCCGTCTCTTCGTAGCCCAGCGGCTGCTGCAGGGCCCAGGGGCCCATCCGGCCCATGCAGGCACCCGGGTGCAGTCGCACGGCATGCCGAGGGCCAGGGTGCTAGACACGTGGACGCGGGATACATTTGAAGTTATTTAAATAATAATGTTGCAGCCGTTTGTCAACGCATTGATTGACGGATGGATCAAGGCCTCCCCACACTGCGTCGGTTGTGGAGGGGTTGACTATACTTCACCACGCTGGTCACAGCGGTGGCTCAGTAAAGTGTCTGTGTATGGTGGGGGTGGGTCGTGCGTGTGGTACCACAACCGGATCGGCTATCACTCGTTAAAGATGTTGCCACGGCCAGAAATCAAGCTTAGGTGGTCCGGGTTCATTTTGCACTGCAGTGCTAACCATTGCGCCACCGCTCCGTGCTTTGAAGGTAACATTTACAGTAAGTATATACATGTGCTCACCGCATCCTCGTAATTACAAAGAGTGGCAGAACAACCCAGCTCCAAACCTGGGGCTATGGGCGAGACGATACCTGTCCCGCGACCTCGGTACCTGAATGAGCTCATACATTACACACACAGAGACATTAATATATATACAGAATAAATATGGAGAGAGAGAGAGAGATGTACACTCATGGGAGATTAACGAAAAGGACTGGACAATGAGGACGGATGATGATCTATATTCAGGATAACAATAAATCAAACATTATGCACGGAAGCGATTGCTTGGGCATGCCACTTCACATGCATACTACTGTGTGATCGATTTCCAGATACCCCACTAAATAATATCTTGCGAAATTACTTTTGAGCGAAAACAACATTTTTGTTATTGCAAAGCCTCTCTCTACACGTCGCCGACCAATCGCAACACACGTGCTATCAAATGTTTTAACACCCTGAGACCTGCGAGTTATGGTGCCATCGCTTTCACACGCTGCGTGCTACAATCAATCACCTGCTGAAAAGAAAGTGAGAGGGTTATGTGAAATCAGTTGAGTTGGGTATCTATACATGTGGATAACCGTGTGTAAGGTACGTAGGCGATCGCACATACGTCACGCGTCTTACAATGCCACAGCCTTGCCTTGCGTAATTAGAATTAAGCCCGCAATAAATCCACCGTTGAGGTTTCAGTGGTAATGGCCCCAAGGATGTATTGTAAAGAACTGGTTGTACTGAACGTCACGCTCGCATATGACACACTATTATAATGTACACGTATAAAGAGACTCCCTTGCCAATCCACTTCTGGATGTATGTTGAACTTCTTTCGCACCGTACGTAGCCACGGACGTAGCTAACCGTGCTAATCGGAGGTGCAGGCTTTCACCCACCTGAGGACGTTCACACGCCGTGTCAGTCACGGGGGATTGCCTGACCATACTTCACCACCCTCGCCAGTGCAGAACTGTGAAGGCAGCAAGCATAGGCTTGGACGCATAGGAGTACGGTACAATAATGCACTGTTGTTGCACAGCGCCCTCTGTTGTTCACAATGTAGCCCCTACTCGACAGCCTCTACCAACCCTTTCGTTTCACAGTCGGTCGCCCATCCAGCAGTTGATTGATCATGGCTACTGATGATGATCATTATAATGTACGACAACATTAAGATACGGTGTGCATCGCTGCCTCTTAGCGGACTCACAGCGGTGTGCAGGGGATGACTTGGGCATGTGATACAGCACATTAAGCCATTAAGGAATAACCACCGCTGCTGCTGCTGCTGCGTGTAATTTTGCAGTGCACTGCAGCACAATACTTCTAACTGCTATAATTGCACATCATCATGTCGCGTCATTTATATGCAAATGCAACAATAGAGGAGAAATTTGCGAGTCGGCATGTGTTGCAGCTTTTAGCATGCGGTCTTTTCCGATAAATGCACATTGTTGAGTCGTTACACACACTGCACGCGCCTGATGATTGCTAAAGACGTCCCCCGTAACGTAGAACCCGTTGAACTTTCTGTAAGACGAAGGAAGCGCTTGCATGTGCGCGCGTGTGTGTACATGATTGGTCCTCGCTAGCAGCACTTGCCTTCGAAGTCTGTTCAGACTATACGGGGGGTGGTATTGGTCCATTGTACATGCGTGTCGTAGATTGTCCCGGGTGCGACGTGAGTTGTGGCCAGGGCTGACGGAGAGGGGCTTGCCAGCTCTCCGTGTGTCGCCGTTGAGCCTCTAAGATGTTTCGATACGTAGTCGTATATTCATCACCACGAGGCCTCTTCAACAAGTTCAACTACGCAATCACCTTCGTTCGCTCACCGCGGTGGCTACACACCCAGCCGGTGAGATCTTCACGCGAGGTTTTCAGCTCTTCTCAAGATGGGCAAATGACTTTTGTTACCACAACAGTCAACCGCAACTGGTTTGCCCGTCTTGTTTGGAAGTTTTCGTGACTGCAGGAATCCATACTCTTTGTTTTTTTCGGTAAAGTCACGTAGGTATAAAATAAAATAAATCACGACGTTTCGGGCGCAACACTAAGCGTCCGTCATCAGGTGACTTTACCGAACGAACCAAAGAGTTTACCGTTTGACCCACGGCAACCGAGTCTGAAAAGAGTCCTTTTATTAGAGAAATCTGAGATGTTTGAGTAATTGAGACCATAATGAAGCACAGTAAATTCGCCGCGGGGCAGAATCTATATTTTTTTACTCATCTAAGACCCTTGGCCGGCTAAGATGTGAAGGGTGGCAACTAACACTCAATGGAATGACAATTCGTGTTTAATCCTCTGTTGCGAATGTGCGATGATTGAGGAGTAAAATATTTTTGGAAAAACGAGGAGATTAATAATGACTCATTTATATACAACGCTGTTCCTCTAAAGACCAGGACAAATATGTTTTGAATAGAAATGAGCGTAAGACTCGAGTAAAATGCATAAACAAAGTGTGTTATTAGGTTAAGCATCGAATAAAATGCACAAACAAATGGTGTCATTAAGTTAATTTTGCTTCGCTAATCCATAATGACGAGCATTTATTTTGTTCATCGATTGATATCGATGTTAACACTCACGAGAGTGCAACTAAATCACGCGTGAAAATCTTATTCTGTAACTTTAATCCGATGGAACAAAAGGACCACCGCATCTTAGATTTAAACAGCACTTCATTCCAAGACGAGACAGACAGCATACGCAAACAACCCCCATGGAACAACTGGAATGGTGGCAATGGAATCGCGGTGGGAGGGAGGGCGGCGAGTGCATTGATGACAATGAAACCACGTGTCTCGCGACACGTGGCGTCGCTAATTCCGAGCAGGTGATGATTGCGTGCTCAATTAGGGCCATTTAGGGCATTGGAAAGGGATGAGAGGGTGGAATGGGGGGGGGGGGGGGTGGAATTCGTGGATAGGGTCGAATGGAGGGGGGATTTGAGGGGGGGGTGGAATGCTGGGGGGGGGGCTATGGGGGGGGCTATGGGGGGGGGGGTCTATGGGGGGATATGGGGAGGGACGGGGGGGTCATGGGGGGATGAGGGTGGAGGGGGTAGGGAGGGATGGGGGTGGGGTAGGTGGGGGATGGGGGGGGGGGGGTCGGGGGGGATGGGGGGTAGGAGCGGTGGGGGGGGGGGAAGGGGGTCGGGAGGATCGCTGGAATACTCGGATATAAATATTGAAATCAGATCGAGAGCGGCTGTGTTAAATGTACTTCCTCTCTATCTCGATGTGACAGCTGTTTAAATGAATCGTGGGACCCTCCCTGCATTGCCATCTCGCGGGTAGCGTGGCGTGAGCTGTTAGTCGGGAGCGGTGGCGCATTGTAGCTATTTCCAGGTCTTAACCTATTCGAATTTCCCTCTAGGTCCACTCGGCATTAAATGAGTGCCTGGTGCGGTGTGTAATAAATACCGTGCCACAATCTGGGAGTCGAAGGCAGCTAGATCGGCGTGCGCCGTTAGTCT